GACCCGTTGATCGGATTTCAACGGGAAGCCCCCGTTGTATCGTTCAACGGGGATTCAACTCGGACCCCGGGGGTGTACAACGGGTATAACGGAGTTGAACAAAAACCGTTGCGAGTTGAATGGATACACAACCAGAAAGTGCAAAAATCGATCTAAGTATAAAAAAAAATGACTTAGAAAATGCAGGAATTTGAACTAACTCATATCGCTCTAGCACGTGGCGAGCCTCTAAAGCAACTACCTGTCAAACTGAAACTCAGACTAAGTAGTGATCTCACTCAGCCGCATGCAAGGTCAACTCACAAAGGTAAATACTCTCACAAACCCGTATCACCTTTGGCAAACAATAGTTCATAGTCTTTCAATGATTTATCCCTTTATACCCAGCTTACATAGGGCATCGGGTTAGGCCATTCATCTTAGAAACAATGCTAACTTTTTGCCTTAGTTATACACAAACAGGTTGCATAACCACTTCTCTCTTCATTAGGCATGTGGCTAAGCTATTCGTCTTAGAAACAATGCTTAGTCGCCGTGATCTGTTTAATAGCCAAGTTATATATAATTTTATGAACTTAATCTTAAAAAATGAGCGTAGGACTGAGCCATTCATCTTAAAAACAATGCTCAGCCGACCCGAGTTACCTTCAATTGTAGGTCTTAATCATACTCTCTTAATTTGTGATAAGGCTATAGTCAGACCATTCGTCTTAGAAACAATGTCTGAGTAGCCTTGTTCTCATAAACATATAGTTATAGAAATATAGAAAATCCTATCCCCTTATTCATGTTAAAATCCTACGGCCTCAGACTTAGACCATTCGTCTTGGAAACAATGCCTAGTCTTTGTCCTGAACCTCCCTCATAATAAAGCAACCAAAGGAGTTGGGTCATTCGTTTTAGAAACAATGCTCAACCCTCTTTTCTTAGCACAAAAAAAAAAAGAGTACCCTGGGTAAAGACCCAGAGACTGTTTAGAAATCACCCAAAAATAAACAGCGACCTGACCATTCATATTAGAAACAATGTCTGGTCCTCAAAGTTTGCACAGTCAATACCCAATAGAAACAACAACCAGGCCATTCATCTTAGAAACAATGCCTGGTTAAATTAAATAAACATAGGGACCAAGCCATTGACCATCATTGCGGGGCCCTCAGGCGCTTGAAGGTTTCAAGGCCCTCTCGTGCGAGTCTGAGTGCAACCCTTGTGCATCTGAGAGACTCAATGGCATCTCCTCCTGCCCTTCTTACTCTAAGTCTGATCTATTGGTTTTGAGAGGAAGGCGGCATGCGGGATTGGAACCCGTAGTCTGTGCCAAAGGCCTCTGTGGGAGGTTCGCCCCACCAATTGGGGGAGCTCTGCCGGAACTCAGGAGGAGTTCTGGAGGCAGGGAACTGAGCGGTAATTTCCTGACTCCTATAGAACTCAAGTATAACCCCTATCTGTACATCTTGCTACGTTGAATGAGTATATTGCATGCACCCTATATTTGAATTTGTGTTTGACTTTCAGAACTTAACCCAGACTAAGTAAAAAAATGCATGCAGAATTTCAATTTTATTTTTTGTTGACTGTCTGAAAATAGATTGTGGGAAGGGGTTGCATCAGGGAGAAGGTTGGGAGGCAGGCAGTCTTGCTTGTGCTTGAACGGGTCTTATAGGGTCAGGCACTGTTTCTAAGATGAATGGCCTGAATGTTGTGTTTTATTTTGTTTTTCTAAAGGGCCAAGCATTGTTTTTAAAGACTCAGTCACTCCACAGAGCCTCGAGGACCGAACTGCATAGGCTGTAGCTCAAGACACGGGTCATGGCTCCAAAACGAAGTGAAGCAACAACTCGATCTAACTGGCCACGCAGGTGTAGCACGCCAGCCGACAGGTAACTCTGGAATTCCACCAAGTGAATCCTCAAGCCCCGCAGCTTGCCCCCCGCTTCTTCCCTTAATAAGCTTGAACAGTAAATCGGCCAGCAGGTAAGTCCCACAGTCGGCCTTGCTGCATATGCAATTTGATGGGGTGAGTGGCACACCAGTCAGTAGCTAAATCTGCAACTACTGTGTTCGCTCCTCACTTCTCCAAACGGAAAGTGAGCAACGCACAAGTCCACAGATAAGCCTGCAACCTCGATCCGCCCGCCAGCTGCCCCTTCGTCCAGCAAGATGATCAAAGTCAGGACGAACCTTCCATTTAATTACGGAAGTAACCCTTGCTGCTCCAAAATGGCTCGGAGTGAATCTCCGACTGGAACCTGACCAGGTACATTGGCTCGAGAAATGGCCGGTATTTTGCGTTAGCGCGCAGCTTGGCACTGCCGCCCGACTCTCAGTCGTTCCCGCATCTGCAATCCTACCGACCAGGTATGCGCTCCCCTCTCTCTCTCTCTCTGCTCGCGCCCGCCTCCCGCTCGTTGAGCACGATCATGCAGAAAATGGTGACAATCACAATTACATCTACAACGAGGTGCTGATCATGGGGATGAATGAAAACCATTCCCGGCGCACGAACCAAGACCACCAGCGTGGACGAGGAAACCGTTTATCAGAGGCGATGAGGAGCGGCCTGTCGAAAGCCTCCGTCCTCTACTCACCCATCATATAGAACGACCCGTTAAACTTGGTAACTAAGAAGCGGGGACGCGGCCAAAAGCAAGCACAACTCTCATGGGCAAACTCGAGTGAATCTTCCGCTAGAACGTGGCTAGGTGCATCGGCACCTTGCCAACCTTTTTCCCGGACGCAGCCCTCGCTAGTTGGACAGCAAAATTTGCCCGTTTTTTTCTCCGATCTGGGCTCTCCATCAGATGCGCAATGATTGAAACCCCCCGATTCAGATCTTCATTCGATCCATCTCTCCTAGAGTCGAGTAGTATTCTCGAGTTTTCATCCCCTCTATCTCTACTCCCGCCATAGCCTCGCGCACCAATTGTCTCTTCTAAGCTCTATTCTACTGACCTATCACCCGAACTAACCTCGCTATTCGACTCGCAATGGTCGAAAACCCCTACTCGTCTTCTTCCTCCTCAAAACGCTTCCCGAACGAGCGCCTCTGTCTTCTAAGCTCGTCTCTTCACCATCTCGACTTTTGATTGCCCCTGGCGCGAACCAACGCCTAGGTTCGTTCCACTTTCTTCCACTGCCCCGCCGTCTTTCTGCCCGACTATCTTATTTCTGTCTCCTACTTCGCTCCGACCTTATCTGGCCTCAAAGCCACGCCAGTTGGTCTTATCACTTATCTTTAGCGCTGCAATTGGTTCCGCTCCTCAGCAGTCGGTCGCCCGACCGTGCACTAACTCGCTTGGCAGCTCCTGCTACCGAGCGCAACGCTATTGTGAAACATGCTGCCAACCGTTCCGGCTTGGTCCCTCGACACTTTACTTCAGCTCGGTGAGCGATGCGTTCGACAACTACCATCCCAACACCACGACCTCCCTCGGCCCACGACCCTTCTTTCGATGGACTCCCACCCGATTCTCCCCTGATGCTCGTAGGCTGTGGGCGTTGTACCTCATAATCCTTGGCAGCCCCTTTTCTTCAGCTCCTACCATCCCACGTTAATGGATGCTCTGAAGGCTGCGCCCCAAGTCGTGATTTAAGAGGCGCTTACCGAACATACCGAACGGGCAGTGCTCCGATTTGAGCTCAGGTTCGAACTCCGGTAGCTTAGAGACATACCACCGAGCTAGGCTTCGGATTCGCGGCCGGTCTCAAACCCAGTACTGGCCCCCAATGGTTCTAACTAAAAGAAGAAAATAAAATAACAATAATTTTAAACACCCCCCCCCCCAAAAAAAAAAAATAATAATAAGTGGGGATGCTGGCGGAAACCAGGCTGCGGGAGCTATCAGCGCTCCCTTGGTCCTGCAAGGCAGGCCCGCGATCGGACTCCCCCACAAAACTAAGGGGGATAGTCCCACGGGACCCTCAACCCCTTAACTTCTCCAACGCTCCATTGCTCCTGCGCCGTCGCCTGCTGGCCTCGATCCTCGCACCTCCGTGTCACAAGTCCAATGCCATAACCTATAAGGCTAAGCCCAAGCCTGAGATCAGCGAGCGCGGGATCCTATATGAAACACTGCAGCACTATGCCCAGGGCTGAGAAAGCGGCTTGAACCTCCTCCCTATCTGCGAGCATGCCCGGCCGCTAGACGCCCACGCCGGCCTACTCGAACTTTTCTGTTGCCGCCACACGCCCCATTCCGCCCACCAAACCTATTGCTAGTCGGACATGTCGGACAAACGGCAAAGACTTTGAAATCCCTACGTTAATCAGAAAATAAGGACCAGGCCAGCCGACTATGCCGGCCTCATAAACGACACAAAGGGAAAAATCACACGCGCGCCTTAAGACTGCACGCCCACACATTCTCTACTATAGTCAATCATCCAGTCATTGTAGACCACAGACACCGCCACGCTTCTTGTGGCATGCCCAAATTTTAAGGCAAACTTATTTTCTGTCATTTGCGAAAACCAGGGCGGATACCCTTGTAAGGGTATTCGCACCGACATCACACAGTCACCGCATTCAGTCGCTGCAAATCTTGCACCCACCGCAACGTCCCATTAGGCTTAATAAAACAAAACCATGAAGATGCATACGGCCCACTTGAGTAGTCGGCGACATGCGTACGTATCTTGCCGTCGAGGTAATCCACTACCTTCTTCTCCTCGTCAGGATTGGGATACCGTGCCCCTCTCAAATTCCATGGCTCATGCGGCACGATATGAATCCGGATCATGGGGATCTTATCTACGTCCAACCGCCCTCGCTCGAACTCATAGGCACGATGCCTTTTCTTCATCAACTCTATCATCAGTGCCCTCTCCCGGGGTACCAGCCTACTAGGAACTCCGGCTCTCCCACTATCAACTTCTCCTTACTTTCTCTATTGATAAGGCACGGCCCCGTCGCTGTTTGCTCCCTCATGCGCCGTATCAATCCTCGTTCCTGTTCGTAATAAACCTCCTCATCTTCCGTGACGAGGACAGGAACTGGACAACACTTCTTGTCTATCGTCTTGTACCGCCTTTGGGAACCCTGCTTGAGTTGTCCCCTAAAAAAAGTCAGCTTACTGCTTGCACCTGCATAATTGCAAGGTTCCTCCGTCCGCCTGGAAGCCGATAGACCAGCTTCAGTTCCCCAGCCTGGGGACACTCCAGGACTTGCTCCCTTAGTGCCTGAATGGCGTATGGATCCGCCATCTCGTGTGTGGCCACTACATCCATGGCCTTGTTCACGTCAGACAAGCTAAGGGAAAACAACTCCTCCTGTGCCTCCTCTGTTGATTCCTCACGGAGCTTCCGACGCTCGTCCTCTGATTCTTCAATTGTGAATGAATCAGGGTTGGGTCGATTCCTAATGCTCCGCAGGTCTGCGTTCCGACAAATGATTATCTCATAGTTTTCACATGTCGGGTCACACAGGATCAGGATCAGAGTCTCGTCGTGTTTATTGAACATCAACGTCTCTGTCCTACATAGGAAAAACCTCCCTAGGAGGATGGCATGATCCACGTCTGGCATGACGAAGAAGCAAGCTCTGACCCTCATTCTCCAAATTTCAATAAGTACGTTTGACGTTGTCCCACAAAATACGGCTTTGCAGTTAGCCCCGTGCAAAATGTCGCAATCCGAGCGGTCTATTTCCAATCGAAACCTAACTGCGTCAGCCTCCTTGATGATGTTCATCTCCACCCCTGTATCCACCATCGCTGCGCACCTAAATCCTTTCACAACCAGATCCACCCTTCCACAGGCCACGCACTTCCAGTCCATCTTCGTCCCAGTTTCGGCCCATTCTGCCTCCTTTGGCAGAATCACGCTTAGATGAACATTTCGCACTAAGCGCCGAGAGAGTCTTCCCTTTAGCTCGTTGTGGAGCTTAGGAGCAGATGTCAAGATCTCTTTCAAGGTCACCAGGTCATTATGACCCTCAAGTAATCTATGGATTATCCTCTCCACGTCAAACCCTTCCTCCAACCGGACCGCATACTTCTTTTTCCTTGGTGCCGCATCGCGCAGTACAAGTTCGGCTTCTTCCTGGGATCCTCTCTTCTTGGCCCTTTGCTCCGCTCTCTGGTCCTCTTCCTGGCGCAGCCTTTCATCCTGCTCGTCCTCCTCCTCCTCATCCTCCACCTCTACGACCTCCTTTCTCTTCTCTGGCTCTGACTCTTTCCGCGGAGGTTCCTGGCTAGCACTGGCCTTAGCCTGGCCTCGGGTGCGAGCCGCCTGTGCCATTCTTTCTTGCGCCATTCTTTCTTGGGCCATAGGGGGTCTGACCATCATTCCATACCGCAGGCCTGATCCCACGGCAGCTACTCCGGGTCGCCCTGGCATCGATTCCAGGCCAGACTCATAAAGAAAGACTTTGGGAACACCAGCCCTGCAACTCTTCACTGTCTCACATATATCTACCAATTTCAGCTGGTACCGGCCTATTTTCTTCCACAAGTCTTTCATCTTCCCTATAAGGATTGATGCTGGCCCCACCTTCTCATCCTTATTTTCTTCCTCTGACTCAACGACCATTGGTTCCTCCTCTATCGTCCTTGCCGACAACCTTTGAGTCACTTCCTCGCCATATTCAACCTCTTCCACTTTAATTGGTGGATCATCATTTTCCTCCCATAACCTGAATGCGGGAGGCGGCGCTTGCCGCGCAGCTATCCTTCTATGAGCCTCTGCCCTTACTCTGCCTGGAACCTTCCGGTCGATATACTCTCCGAACTGATCATATATATCACCATTTATATTGGAATAAATAAGTCTGGATTTCTCATCTTCCCGCCTTATGTTGCAGAACCGTATCATGTGACCTTGCTTGTCACAATGCTGACAAATATCGGTTCTCCAGTCGAAACGAGGTCTTCCATACCCTTGACCTCCTTGGTTCCCTTGGCTCCCTTGATTTCCCTGACCCTGGTAGCCCTGGTTATCCCATTGTCCTCCTCGGCCACCACCATTCCTGCCACGTCCTCTTCCACTGCCTCTTCCTCCATTCTCTTGATTGCCCTGGCCTTAATTCTCTCCACCAGCCACACTACCTTTTGAACTCGGTGCGGGCGACGGAGGTGGTGCCATAGGTTGGGCCTGTGCTGCAGGATAGCTTGGCGGTGACATACTCGCTTGGGGCCCAGCATATGGTACCATCTGCCTAGATGGAGTCGGGCTTCCACATGGCACAAAGGTGTTGTACACAAGCCATGGCCACTGCCCGTATGGTGGTACCGCCGCCTGTCTGGGTCCCGCGCTACTTGACAGCGCTGCCGTACTCGGCGGTGCCACCGCCAATGCTTGAGGCGCCTGCCCCTTTCCTGAGCCTTGCCCTCCCTGCATTAAGTTACACTGTTTGCGTAGCGCTTTTGAACGGTGCTGGGGCACCGGCTCCTCTTCTTCCCACTCCTTTTGGACGACTTCCTCTATCACTGGATCCTTCCCTTTTCCTTGGATCGCCATCACCACTTTCTTTTATATCACCACGTCTTTCCCATAACACAGCTCCGCAAGCACGTCGGGGACAATCCTGTTCACTCATGGGGTCCCTGAAGCGGTCGCATCCCGCTCTTTCCTCTTTTGCCTTTGCAGGCGCATCTCATACCGCTCTACCTGGTCCAGACTTCCTTCCTCTACCCCTTTGTCGATAGTGGCCCAGGTGAGCTTCACACTCCCTCCTCCATGGCTCGTCAGCTCTGACGCTTCCGAGGCAGTGAGCAATCTCAAGAAAATAACACACTGCACCTCCTCAGAGACCCCATGGACCTTTCTCACCTTCTTTTTAAACTCTTGTACGAAGGCTCCCACTATGGTGAAGTCATCCCTGTTCATTGCTTCCGGGTCCGCAGTGGTTAACAGGCCATCGCCCAGCCTGTACTTCCTCTGAATTCCATCTTTGAATCTCGCCCAACTGTCGTTGGTGGCGTTGATCACTTTATCCACCTCCTGGTGGTGCCCATGAAGTACATACTTGAGAATGCGTTGGAATTTTACCGCATCCGATAATCCTACCAGTGCCTGTTCCACCAACTCCAACCATTTTGAAACTCGCTCCATGTTAAAGTGGAAGGTGTTGACCTTTGCGATATTGCTTTGTAACCTCTCTCGCCTGCCCAGGGCCTCGACTAGGTCATCAATTGTCAAGACTTTCCCAGCACCATAAACTATGTCTCCCGACATCTTGGCCGACCGACTATTTCTCCCTCATCTTCCCTATTATCAGAAAAAGATGAAACTTCACTCAGCAACCTGACTTACCGTATTCTATCAAGTCTCCTACGCAGTCCTCGCACACTCCTGGCTTAACAGACACAACCGTTCCTTTTAGGCTCATTTAGATAGAGTCTATCTCCTTCATATGACTTCCTTCACAATCTTCTCAATCAAACAATCAATAAATTTACAAGTCAAAATCATTACTGAACATCGCTCACACAAATACTCAAACAAAACATCACATATCCCATCCCATTGACTTGCCAAAACTACCTTTATATGCCTGATTTTCTCTCACTACCATATCCGGATGTGGTTCCACCAGAGACAACGGCAGACAACCGTTAAGCGCATCGGTCCGGCACTGCGTAAGGCGGGGCGAGACCCTCCCGGTTGCGTCACGCAAGAGTTGGTCTGATCCTTGTCGCGAATACACATGGAGCTTCCACAAGCCGCTCCAGCCGAGTGCGCCAGCCATACCTCTCGCCAGCCCCTACGACAGGATAGGGCCTACGCGAGGCATGACTTACCTCCACCTTACGGGAACTGTCACCTCCCTTCGGTGGGCGTATCCCCGTCGAGCTACCAGTCCACAATACGAAAGTTAATCAGTTGCAATCGCAGAGGTGGATCAACCGAGGGTGTTTCTTGTACGTTGTAGCATAGGAGGTACGCGTAGTTTTACACCTCTATTGTACCCGCACGCGAATCGACATCTTGGGGGGTTGAGGTCCCGAGCGCGACTCGTCGCTGGTCGACTAGGACGCCTTACAAACACCATGTGCACGCCACCCTGAAGAACATAAAAATAAAAACACACTCACATACACATACGCAAAACGACACAGAACAAACAACGCGACAACACTCCTAGTCCCTTAGTAGTCATCCCATAACGCTTCGAGGTGAAAATCGGATAGTCATCGCGCGCGAAACTTAATATAAAACTGTCCGTACGTGAGGCTGACTCATATCGACTCGCAAGGCCGGCTTACGCAAACAGTCGCAATGATGACGTACTATATAGTGCCTATAATCGAGCGGTCCCTCGTGGATCTGAGTACCGCTTATGACACTCAAGTGTCAAACTCAAAGTATCGTGAGGGTCTACCCCTTCACGATATTGCACGGCTGAAGGAATAGCAGTGCGGCCTCCGCGGCACCTCCGACCTTTAGGTTGAGTGTCCTGACAGGCAGGGTAAATAGGCTCTGCACGGGGGGTAATCCCTTCCACGCAGAGTCTAGGACATGGATGTCCTGGATAAGGACCTCGAATCCAGGCCAGGACCAACGTTCAACTAAGAAATCTTTAAGAATCATTCAACAATAAAAAGGGTATTTTTTTCTTTCCCAATCTCAACCCTAATTAAACCCTTAAGCGTGGGCCCCTCGAGTCACGCGGACACCCAACATACGTATATACATGTATATATATAAAGGGAAAATAAGTATATGACGATCACTTCTCACAATCACAGTGAGACTCCTCACAACCATATACATGCGTGTGATCTCAGGCAGTCAAATCCAAAATCCGAACCTCAGAACATACCTGCAATCACATCAAAGAGTTAAACAAAAGTGCGTAAACTACAGGGAGTCAACTTCAACCAATCTCTATACGCATACCCCTCGCTTTAGTCATGCAAGGCCCAAACTTTGTCCAACCTTCCATAATTAAATACTCAGCACCTGCATAGCACGACGAACATGTTCGCGCCCCTTCCTGTTCGCGCGAACGTATTCGCACGTTCGCGCGAACAGCTCATGAACATATTTTTTTTTTCGTAAAAAATAAAAATAAAAATAAAATCGGTTTTTGATTTTTAACTCATGATTGGTTACGAATTTGAACATGACTCCAAGGCAAGAGTTGCTTGTATTTCTATTTTACATAACATATAGTTTTTGCAGATTTTTCTGAGAACTTTTTTTTTTTTTTTTAAATATTTTTTAAGTTCGCGTTCGGAGGGTTTTGAGTGCTTGTTCGCGTTCGCCTCCGAACGCGAACACGGTGCTACATAGCTCAGTACCTTTGTCGAATGACCATTCTATAAAATTCTGGATGAAAGCCTTAATAAAACAACAAAAATCACCAGGGCAAAGTCTTCTAGGTTGAGTACTGGGGATGAATTGGAGTTAAGTCGTAGACCGACGAATCAGCAACCGACCTGTTATCAGTGATAACAGAAGGTGATGCTTGTAGGATCAAGTTGAACCTAGTCCTGATTTCGAATTAAACGTTCAAGAGGACGTGTAACATAAGACAGACTAATTTCTAAGCTAAATCTATGACTTCAAATCTAGAGTAATCTTCAGATCATGATTTCACTAAGAATCATTCTACTTAGCTAATTATGAGTCTACTCCTCAGTCAGGTGCCTAATGAAAAGGTAGACCTTTGGCAGTATCTCTTCTATACAGAGTGCATTGCCAGAATCATCACCTATCAAAATATAATCTAACTCCTCTAACTAAAAAAAAATTGGCAGCGCTTCCAGTAGGAAAAGTGTCTTCTCATAATTTATAACAACTCAAACATAAAAAAAAATAAACTTTATTTCTGGAAAGTCAAATTTTGTCTAACTCCCTGAATTAGTAAAAATCTGGTCAGCATCTCCTTTAGAAAGGTAGACTTCCCAGATTCATACTAAGTAAGAGAGGAACTCCGAAGTTAGACTTGAGGTCGACTTCAAGACAAAGTTCAACTGACCCCTTAGATTTGTAGTAATATCGGCAACACTTCCCATAGAGAAAGTGTTATTCCAAGATTTATACAAAGCTAAGTTCAGAATCTAAAATGACTTTGACTTCTCAAGGTCCAATTTTGTCTAACTCCCTGATGTAGCAAAAATTTGGGCAATACTTCCTTTAGAAAAGAAGGTTTTCCAAATTTTTACTAAGCCAAAAAGTCAGAAAAACTTGACCCTTAAAAAGACAAAATCCGACTAACTCTTTGGTTTTGTAGAAATTTCGGTAGCGCTTACCATAGAGAAAGTAGCTTACCAAGATTTATACAAGACGAAGTATAATAAATGGTCCCAGAAAATGCAGAAATCGACCTAAGTAAAAATAAACTTAGCTTAGGAAATGCAGGAATTGAAACTAACTTTTAAATGGTCCCGGAAAATGCAGAAATCGACTTAAGTAAAAATAAACTTAGCTTAGAAAATGAAAGAATTGAAACTAACTTTTAAAAGGTCTAGCACGTGGCAAGCAACTAAAGCAACTACCTATCAAACTGAACTCGGACTAAGTACTCTCACTATCCCCAAAGTCAATTTATCAAACAATAGTTCATAGTCTCTTAATGATTTATCCCTTCATACCCATCTTACATAGGGCATAAAGCTAGACCACCTAAACTTATGGAACATGTCGAGCTCAACCATTGAGTATACACAAACACAAGGCACAATAACTTTTCTCTTCTTTGGGCATATGACTAAGGCACCCTAGTCACCCTGAACTGTTTAAGTATCCAAGTTTTATATAATTATCTTCACTTAGTCTTTTGAGCTAACATATAATTGAACCGATCATTTTTAACTCAAAATTCAGTTTGCCCCTTCGTACCACAAATTTATTCTTAATTGATACTCTCTTCAGTTTGTGATAAGCTATAGTTAGACCACCCAAACTTATGGAACCCTGTCTGACTAGCCTGTTCATAAGTAGGATAGTAATAAAATATAGTCAAGTTATAGCTTTCTGTTTGCAGCATGTGCGTGATGTTGGACCAAGACCACCCAAACTTATGGAACATATCTTTGTCCTCAGCCTGATTCATTTCTCTTAAAACCAAAGCAGGAAGAGGCTGAGTCACCCAAACTTATGGAACATGTTCAGATCTCCTCGTTCAGAACAAAAAGAAACTGAAACAAATCCCAAAGTAAACAAAGCGTCTAAGTCACCCAAACTTATGAAACATGCTTGATCCCTGAAAAGTCAATCATAGTCAGCCCTCACAAGTCATATCAACCAGATCACCCAAACTTATGGAACATGTCTGGTTCTCCAGACAATTCAAAATAAACATAACATTGGGCCTCCCCAAACTTATAGACACTTGCCCAACCTTTCATAGACCCAGTCAAACAAGCAATACTTCCTTCCTCCCATCCGTCCCCAGATGCAACCCCACAATCTGCTTTCAATCAAACAATAAAACTGAAACTGACATTGCACATACATTTCTTTACTTAGTCTGGTTTGTATCCTGAAAGTTAAACATAAAATCAAAGGTAAGGATGCACTCAATGTACTTAGTGAAAACATAGCAAGGAATATAGATAGGGGTTATTACAGGGTTTATAAAGGGAAAGCAATGATTACCTCTCAGTTCCCTGCCTCCAGAACTCCTCCTCAGTTCCGGCAGAGCTACCGCAATCGGTGGGCTGACTCCCCACATAGTCTTGCTGCGGTCCTACGGGTTGCAATCCCGCCTGCCGCCTTCCTCTCGTAACAAGACTAGACTTAGATTAAGAAGGGCAGAAGTAGGGGCTTGAGACTCTCAAGATACAGGAGGGGGACTGCCTAAACTCTCAGGAGAGGGCTTTGATACCTTCCTTCGCCTAAGGGCCCCTCAATGGTGGCCAAAAAACGTAGTAGACTGGTCAATCCGCAACCAGACACATGAGGAAATTGGTTGAATCGTGGCCAAAGCGTCGAGCACTGCCCTACGTTGGCCCTCCAAGCTGTAGAGGTAGCCTCCTTTGTAGAATTTTAACCACTCCCCCAAAACACTCCGCTCCTACCACCAGCTAAACTGCAGCAACGCGACCTAGAACGTCGTGTTTCGAGCAGAGCACCTCCTCCGCACTTTATCTGAAGTGCAACTAAGAACACAGCAACGCTAGGCAGATTTCCGCGCGCTCAACAAATGCACAGCAAAAGCCTGACAACGCATAACGACAACCTCAACAGTCTTTAGTTCAGGGCCAGCAGCAACTCACACACCATACCATCATAGGGTTCGGACCAAAAGCATAGTGGCAGATGCTAGCAAATAGCAGCAACTT